CCCCAATTCACATCTTTTGGGACCAAGTCTTTTAAGTAACACCCATTTTTGAGTCATTCCCCACCCTTTTTAGTTGATCTTGGCACATTATCAATGATCATTAGGCGTTCATGTTAGCCTCCATCATTTGTTACATGGTGAAATTCCTTAGACCTTCAAAGAAGAAAACACAAAAAAAAAGAAGAAATTGGAAAAGTGAAGACAAAAAGAAACAATGAAGAAGATTAAAGAAAAGCAACAAAAACAAAGACGAAAAATGAAGAAAAAGAGCAACACAAAAAGAAGAACAAGAATCCAAGTTCAAGGCTTTAGTTCAAAAAAAAAAAACGAGAGAAATAAGAAGACTGAATATCAAGCATCAAAGAGGTTGAAGACCAAATAACAGAAGTTCAAGATTGAAGATTTAAGTTGTTAGGTTTAAGTTTAGGTTAAGTAGAATTTTTATTATTTTATTTTATTTTTTATTTTTGGAGAGAAAAGGCCTTGACGGTGAGACGGTAGACTGTAAAGGACAGTACAAGGGAGAAGCCTCTGAAACCGGATGTTTGCCCGGAGGCCGCGCTGCAAAACCCTATTTCATACTATACACTTTAGCCTGACAAATGTAGGAATCATAGTGTGTGAAGAGGCGCCTTTCCTTCGTGCATTATGATCTGCATTGGTGATTTAAAGTGCCCCCACTGGGCGCATCTCTGTTTCCTTTGTCTTGCACACCGCGACTGCATCCAGCCGTGATCTATTCGCCCATCAAGTGGTTGAGAATGTGGTTTATGGCTCTAAAGCGGGGAACATTTTGAAGATGCGTAGGGTCCATGAAGGACTAATTCTGACCATGTTGACTGATGTTGACCAAGTTCTATGGTACCTTTCTTTTTCCTTTTTAGTTTAGCTCATCCCGAGCTCATTTTAGTCTTGTTCTAACTTGAGGACAAGTTAGGTTTAATCTTTGGGGTGATTTGATAGCTTATTTTATTTCCTTATTTTATTAGTTTATTTTAGATTTTTAGATCTTTTTATCATTATTGCATTGTATTTTATTCATTTTTCTTTAGCATGGATCGTACCGGGTGCTTTTTATGTTGCATGAGGAATTTTGCAGGGTTTTGGTGCTTATTGCGATTGTGGATTTGAGTGAAGACGGACTTGTGGGCTCTCGAGGCACTATTGGGCTTGGCGGATCCACCAAAGGAGATTTGGGCTTAAAAAGATAAAGTCTTGGATGAAGTGGGCTTGTGAAGATGGATCATGGATAATTAATTTGGGTTTAGAGCATCCACATTTGAAGCCAAAAGATGATTGGTTGATTTAAATCACATGGATATGGAGGGGACCAAAGGAATCTTTGGTAGTGGAAGGGTGGAGTGGTGGAATGAAGGACCAATAGCATTACAACAACATTTGCGCGGGTGGAATTTTCGTCGCGCGGGTACCCGCGCAACTGCCCAGTTTGGGCATTTTGGTCATTTGGCTTGCCATTACCTTGGAGGATCACACCTAGCAGCCATAACTTCGATTTGACACCATTGGAGACCTGTGGGAGGTGATTTTGGAAGCTCAAGACTCATTTCTCTTCATCTTTCCAAAATTTTTGGTAGTTTCTTTATGCAATTAGACTTTTGTGATTGTTGTTCTATTGCCACGAGTGGCTAAACTCTTTATATTGGTTAACTTTGGTTAAAACCTTTGAATGTTTGTGGGTTTTTGAAGGATTCATGCTAGATTATCAATTATCTTATGTTTATGGTTCAAGATCATATTTCTTATGCTTGTTTAATGCTTTGATCATGAGCTTGACACTTGAATGAGCTATTGTTAGTTTATTTCTTTGGTTTTGCATTGAATCATTGAATTAACTTAGAACAAGGGCTTTATGATGGTAAAAATCATCTCTAGTTTATGAATCATAGCTCCTTTATGGATGTGTAAGCATTGACATCCTCTTGGAATTGGGGATTCCTTCTTTCTTAAGGCTAATTAACTTCTTGGGTCCAATTGCTTTAATTAAACCCTTGATCTTGATTAAGAAGGTGTGTTGTGGGCTTCCCCAACCTCCATACTACCTAAAAGGAATCTTGGCATATCATGCTTCATGATTGCTATAACCAATTTGGGATGAATGATAAGCTTCATGTTGGATCCTAATGATAAGCACACAAATGTTCATTGTGTTGAATTGTCTTGGTTAACCAATTGTTCCCAACATTTGAGCATCTCACTATCTTGCTTAATTGCAAGTTTTTAGTTATTCAAGTCTTTTAGTCTTCAACCAATCATAACACCCCCCCCCCTTTTAGTTTAATTGTAGTTAGTTAGTTTATTTACAATAGTTCTTTTAGATTGCGTTGGTGATTGAATACAACCATTTCCCCGAGGATCGATACCCCTTTTTACCATTATATTACTTTTTATTTACAAAAAAATGGTGTAATTTGCTTGGTGGACTTGACAACCCACCAAGTTTTTGCGCCGTTGCCAGGGAAATTGGTTATTGTTATTTGATTGTTTATGCCTAGGTCTACAAGAACCGGTGAACTACTCTACGATCCGGAAATTGAAAAAGAAGCAAAAAGGTTGAAAAAGTTAGCCAAACAAGCAAAGCAACAACACCTAGTTCAAGCTTCTTCCTCTTCTCCACTAATCAACATAGAAGACCAAGTTCACACTTCAAGTGATACCGACACCGAGCCGAGTTCTCCAATTGTTGTTCAATCCTTTGAAGATATTCTGTTTGAAAACTACATAGCCATGGATCAAACTCCACCTCACAATCCCAACCCAAACCCAAACAATCAAGATGCTATTACCCCACCCCATCAACCAATACAACCACAACAAGAACCTCTCATTGATATGCCACCTTGGAATCAAGTCCCTCCTCAAAACCAACCCAATTATCAACAACCACAAAACCAACAATTCCACCAAAACAACCAACCTCAAACCAATGCTTTTCAAGTTCAACAACAAGTACATTACCCAAATCAACCCAATTACCAACACCCTCCAATGTACCAAAACCCAATGTACCCCCAACAACAACCCCCCTACAACCAATATCCTAACTACCAACCTTATCCACCACCAATCTACAATCACCAACCATACTCATACCCATCTTACCAACAACCACCCAATTACTTGCAACAATATCCCAATAACCCCAATTAGGGCCAATTAGGACTTATTCGTAAATTAGGATAAAATAATGGGACTTTAATGAAACAGGTAAGTAATGAAACCGGTAAACCGGGAAAAAGGGGTCAAATCGTCATTTTTACCGGTAATTCATGCTTTTTCGTAAACAAAATTTAGTTTGTGACTTTTTCGTAAATTATGGTAAAATTTTAGGACTTTTCTGGAGATTTCTCAACTCATAAAAGCAGCTTATCTTAGTTTATAAAGTAGATTATAAGTTAATTTATTTATAAATTATCTTGAGATAACTTATTGATAAGTTAGCTTATAAGGTAGTTCGTCCAACATAATATTAGAAACCATCCTTACAATAAATTATTTATAAAAAAATTGAAGTTTTGAATTTTATATACTTTATTATATTTATTTTATTTTTTAAGTGAAATCTTAAATTAATACTTAATAAAGGGCTTTTAACTATAGCAACGACCATTTTTAATTACAGGGCTTTTAACATTAAAATCCTTAAGGTTGGTAAATTTTGTCGGTTTTATCTGTGTGACGACTTCATGTTTGTTTATGCTTTAAGTTTGTCAAGTTATTTTATTTTATTTTTCATGTTTTCTCATCAAGTTTCTAGATTATCATGAAATCGAATTTGCAAAATAGAAAAACCATTGAGTTTACAAATAATTTATGTTTTACCCTAAGTATGTTTTTTTTAATATTATAAGTATTCATGCAGAAAAAACGTATTTATGCACAAAAAAAAATTCAACTAAACATCATATAAATATGTTTTTATAAGTATAAATACGTTTTTATGTTGCTAGCTAGGTTTACATGGTTTTCAACCGTAGACAACACAAGATAGATAGTTGGAAATTCTAATAAATCATGAGACAAAACAACAATTTTTTTTAACAGAAATAAATGGATCAAATTTGCAGATTTCTCTATAAAAATATAATTTATCTTTATCTGGTCTCACATTTTTAGTCTTTATTTTATGGTTGAGTCTTTAGTCTTCTAAGCCCTAAAATTTCCGCTAAAAAGTTTGATTAACAGTCTACAAAATTGTTCATTCGAGTTTGAACTCGAGCCCAAAAAAATCCGATCATTCAGTTCGAAATTGGCATTGCATTTCATAGGAAGCCTTATAGAACATCACAAATTTATCTCTTCATCTCGAATTAAACATGACATCGTGATACGTAGTTAGTCCCTTTGTCATCTGTTGCGTATAAGTTGTATATAATCAAGATGATCTTGTTTTTATTCCAGCTTAAGATGGTTTCATCTTAATTGTTAAGATTTGCATTTACAAATATTATGATTACTTTATTAAGAAGTTAAAGTTGATTATATTGCTGATTGATGAAATGATCAACATCTACCTTATAATATATATACTACACAAACAAGACCATGCAAACAAATTTAGAGACTAATCCATTTTTGTATGATCTTTCGATTCCGATTCCGATTCGGATCTTATAAGTTATAACCACATTTTTGCAAAACATAAAACGATCATAGGAAAAATCCCCCTTCTTAACAACCACTTTGGATCTAAAATGCATGAATACCCCTTTTTTACTAACAATTTATTAAGAAGGTCGATCAATTTCAGTCAGAACCATTGGAACCGGATTTGATGAAATAGTCAACTAACAAAAGAAAATATTCTTATTTGATTGAAGTTAATATAGTAGATTTACCTCATTGTCTTAATAAATATAACTGATTTTTAAAAACGATTGAACTCCCAAAAAGAATTATATTTACTTAAATGTGAAGTTGATAGAACACAATTCAACGTCTTCTACTGATTATACGTTTTTAAGATAATATAAAAGTTTAATCTACACCATTTTAAAGACTTGTTTCCACTCCATTTTCTTCTTCGAAATCTCTCTTGATGGTGGTGGAGATTTCTTGTTATCTTCCTTTGGAACACATTCAGGTGAGTTCTTAATCACTAAAACTTGTATCTTGAAAGTTTTGTTAGCTTTCAGACCTTCAACCACAGCTTTGGCCCTGTGTTTTTTTCCTGCGAGATGATCATGTAAACCACGTTCACATGTTGTACTAACATCACAGATTGCACATCTCCATTTGGATGACTTCTTAATCACTAAATCTTGTGTCTTAACAGAATTCTGGACACTTAGAGTTGCCACTTTCACCTTGTGTTTCTTTCCTGCAAAATGTTCCAATAAACCACGCTCACATGTTGCTCTAACATTGCATATCTCACACCTCCACTCCATTTTCTTCTCTGTAAGCTCAGTTGAACCTGCTGGTGGTGGTGGTGGTGATGGCGGCGGTGGGGGTGGTGTTGCTGGTGGTGGTTTCTGTTCGGCTCCATACAGGGTAGGCTGCAATAAGAAACTCAAGATTATTTTTGTTGCTAGATAGGGCACCAAACTTTAATGTTGATATTTATTCTTGAATATAATTAGAGAAAAGTCTCCAAACTGCTAGGTTATCTTAACAAGTTTAACCATTTGTTTATGCAGATCTTAAAGAGCCTATAACATGGTTACCTATGGAATTTGAATGGAATTCAGTTAGTTGATGCATAAACTGAACTATGAATATGAAATACATAGATGAAAGGATGAATATTAGTACCTTCTATGGAAGTAACTAATCTATTGAAAACTATTTAACAGGATAAAGAATTACAATAAACTGGTTCAAAATCAGTGAATTGACAATAGAAATGGAATATACAGTACAGATTCATCAATGGATATATAAAGAGAGAGGAGAGAATAAGGATACTCACCTTAGCAACTTTTGGGAGTGAGGTGGTGATCTCCTTAACTTCACCAGGCTGAGACCTTAGCATAAACGACGATGGATATCCACTGCGGCGCTTCATTGCCATCATCTCTCGTCCAATCATCAATTCTCTCCTCACTTCTGCTTCCAAAACGTGAAAACGCTCCACTTCCTCCGCTATTATCTTCACGCGTATCATCTCCTTCTCAAGTTCGCGCTGAATCGTTTCTCTTATATCCACCGGTCCTGGAAAAATCATACGAATCAGGATTTAAGTAAGAACTAGAACAACACATGAAAAAACACCATGCAAACTTCCGCTACAATCGCTGAAATCATAAATAGAGAAACCAAATTGAATAAGCCTCTTTGTTTTGCAGGGTTATGTAGTCAATCGAAAGAATATGATCAGTAATCGCGTACCTTCCATAGCGTTGTTGGAGAAGCTGGTTTAGTTTGACGAAGGTATAGAATAGACTTGATTGTGCTGCAGCTGACCATTGAATCCTGGCAATCTGAACTCCATTAGTACAGCAACGGAGAAATTTAAGGTTTTGCAGTGACGGCTATGTAGTAGGTACGGGCTCCGGCGGGTGATTTGAGAGGACGAACAGAGTTGCGCTTGAAAAAGGACCCTGATGACTGATGTTAGCGGTTTCATCCAATGCAGTCACCACTGTAAAAGAAAGTAACGTGTAGGATTGTGAATGGTTGAAACCATAAAGAAAAAATTGTTTGAGTGATTTACACGAATGTTTATGGGTTTGTAACTTTGTTCCTTTACTTATTTATTGATTATTATTTCGGATGGTTCTTTATAATTTAATATGTTACGACTTACGTGATTTGTTTCGAACATCGATTGATTAAAGAACCAGAAAGATTACCAACTTTGGTTTTTTTTTTTCACATTAAGGTAACTATGTTTTTTTCGTACACATTTAACCATTGAATTTGTTTGACTTGTTCAAAATAAGGTAATATGAATGGTAATTAGCAGTAACATTACCCTATTATGAACAGATCAAACAAATTTACTGGTCAAATGTGTAAGAAAAAAATATGATTACCTAAATATGGACAAAAACCAAAGTTCTTTACCCATTTTGGTAATATTGAGTTCTTTATGTTAAGTGTAAGTAGTCGTAAGATCCATTGATGTGACATGAAATTGGTTGTCCGGTCTTTGTGTATGAGGAGATGGTCAAGTCTTGGACCAACTCAGTTTAGGCCCAACTAGTTAGGGATTAAGTTGTATACGCTTAAGGGGCTATGATGTATGTGCTTTAAAGACCTAGCAACATAGCCTAGCCCATGACTAGCCGTGACTGAACTGTGTTAGACCAAGCCTAACCTAATTGTTCATTGACTGTCGGAGTCTGATCGTAGGGCACAGTCCCTGAGACGGTTCTTGTCAAATATTACCAAAACGGGTAAGAAATTTTGGTTTTTGTCCATATTTAGGTAACCATGTTTTTTTGTACATATTTGACCAATAAACTTGTTTGACTTGTTCATAATAGGGTAATATTACCGTAATTACCAGTCATATTACCATATTTTGAAAATGTCAAATAAGTTCAATGGTCAAATGTGAATGAAAAAACATGATTACCTAAATTTGGATAAAAACCAAAGTTCGTTACCTTTCGAGGTCATTACCCCTTCAAACATACATAAACAAAATTATTCTATCTTTATTTATTTTACTACTTTCTACTATTTATTTATATAATTTAGACAAAATTACATAAAGTGTAGGCTGAGCAAAACAGAAACCGAAATCCAAAAAACTAATTAAAACGAAACCGAACCTAAATTCTCAGTTTTGGCTTTAGATTTTTCAAAACCAAAAATTTCATTTTAGATTTGATTTGCACGTTAAAAACCAACCCATTAAAATTGAACTGACCCAATGGGTTTAAAACTGTAAGGAACCAACTTAGACCCAAGAAACCGACCTGGTATATATTATTTATTATTTAATATATTACTAATAAATATTATATGTTTTATTAAAAAATAAATATAGAAAAGTTTCAAAACCCTAACCTTTCGTTTACTAACGCTCATCCCATCTCACTCTTAGTCTCTCATAGTTCTCACTTCTCGCTTTCTCAACCTTCTCTTAACCGCTCGTCTTCTCTCTAGAATCCTTGATATCATATTTAATTTTCACTTAACCTTTTAAAGTTCTTTGCGTGATTTATCTTATGAAACCCTTGAATTCTTTTATTTTCTTGGATTGGTTGTGTTGAGATCATTATTCGGTGGCGTTTCATTTTATTTAAAACTATTGGAGAATATTTTAAATCCAAAACCCATAGGTTTAAATCCCAAACCCAACAACCCATAAGTTGAACGTGAAAAACCAAAAAACAACCCTTCATTATATTTAGAATTGTTGGAGAATAGGTTAAAACCCAAAACCCATGGGTTTACATCCCAAACCCATCAACCCATAGGTTGACCCGAAAAACCAAAAAAACCAATCTACGAACCTGAAAAACCGAACCCATTAAAAAATTAAAAAATTGAACCTAATGAGTTTCAATACCCAAAAACCGAACATATTGGTTTGAATTTGATTTTACCATGAAGCCAACTCATACTCAAGCCTAATAAATGGTCCTTGTGGTTTTTTAGATTCGTATTTTTCGTCCCTAATTTTAGTTTGTTACATGGATGGTCCCTAAAATGACTATTATACCCTTTTTATTTTATTTTATATTTTTCTTTTACTAATTTTAACTAGGAGGTAAGCCCAATATTCGCCCCGGGACGAGTATTTTTCTTATTAAGACAATGTACTTTGAAAGTAAAATGGTCGTTTACTCTTCAAACCGATTCCAATAATTCTGGAATCGTACGCTACTTATAAGCAAAGCCAAAATGTTATTCTTTCCATAAAATATTAAGTTTATAAATTATTTTCAGGTTTAAAAATAAACAATTAAAATTTTGGTGCACAAAACACATAAGTTTTGGTTAATAAATCATCAAAAATATTTAGTATTCCCTTTATCTCATTAGCGTAGGTAAAATAATCAAATGAATGAGGATTGTTGAGCTAATTGTACTATTCCTGGATGTGTGCCTCCGCCTTGAAACATCTAACACCTCACTTCCTTTCGTTGTTTACCTTCCCGAATAGCCACCATCTATCTCATCCTTACAAGTAGAATCCCTCACAAGGGATTCGAACTATCCAATTACATTGTTCCTAGCAGATAAAACATTTATGTAGACTCTTAGTCTTCAATTTTAGAGAATAAATAAAAAAAACAATGCTAATGTAGAAATAAACAATAACCTTCACATGATTCCGTTTGGTAATGTAGTTAGGAGATTACAACAATGAGTTGTACTACTGAAAGAAGTCAATAAAAAAGTATAATTAAGAAATACATAATTGAGCCAAACCAATAATTCATAACAAATAAAACTATGGTCAGTGTCATAAACATATACCTAAGCATAGTTTTTTGGAAAGAAATTCTGCAACAGCTGACTTATGCTTGGTTAATATCTCATGAAATAAGGAAAAAAAAACTTCTTCATTTTATCCACAACATTAGTCAATACATACCATAAAAATTTCACACTCATAGACTAAGCTAACATATTCACACAATTTTCAGACTTGAACCTTAAATGTCATTTGACTCCAAGATATATTTGTAAAAACAACAGTCATATTTCAGAAACATAACTTTTGGTTCAAAAAATGAACCTTGATTCACCAGCCTGCATTTTGATTCATAAAAGGTGGCTTACCATTACAATTTTCTGCAAGTTCCCCTTGTTTCTCCTTAACCTTAAAATGCTAATCTGCAATCAAACACAACGAAGTAATTAAATTCTAACAAAAGGCACAAATACATATATACAAACACCTACATATAAAGATACACACACTCAGATAAACACACCAACATTTTCATCAAGCTTTTTCCCATAATAACGTTTAGTAAATGAGGTTCAGGAGTTGAATGACCCAAAAGAGAAATTAAATATCCTCCTACATTTTATTCCTACTTATCCTCCTACCATATCAAATGTTGACATGTGTCACATTTAATTACACATTTAATGAAATTAATAATCATTTAATCCACTTGTCACCATTTGATATGGTAGGAAGATAAATAGGAATAAAATGTAGGAGAATATTTAATTTTTCGACCCAAAAAGATCATGATCATCTCCACTACTACACCAAAATCCAAAATCACAAATTCGTTTGGTATCAAATCCAAACCGTGCTAGAGTATCGATATGTAATCATATTTTAATAATTTTATGTACTACAATTAAGAATGCAAGTGAAACTCAAAAGAACTTATATGCCTTGTTAGCTTCTTCAGATATTACACTCTAAGCAACATAGGTTATAGGTTATCTTCAAACTTTATATATAGTGTGGCAACCTACAACTAGGGAGATGAATAACAATTTTGTAGATAGTGATTTTCCTATATTAGTGCTCAAATTCTAGTAATAGGGATGTTCCAAAATCTAAATCATGTTCCCAAATCCCACTGTAACCACCCGATTTTCAGGTATGAATTTTATAGTTTAATCTTGTGAAATGTTGGTGGATGTTGGTGGACACGACGTGGTGGGGAGGACCGCCACGACATGGAAATTCCTTTTGGGGCCACAATTATTTTAAGTGGCCATGATGTGGTCATGTATTGGCCATGACGTGGTGACGTCCTAGGCTCAAACCCTAATTCTTGGGCCTAAGGACCTATTCAAGGAATTTGAGGGCTAAGGTTTGTCCACCCTCAGCCTCTGTTACCCCTCTATGTGCATAAGATCAAACTCGTAGCCTCCTTTCAAGCTGTTGAGATCATTTTGATGATTTGGTGACCTTTGAAGGAAGAAGAAGAAGTTTTCTAATGCAAGGATCCATCAAGAAAATCATCTCTACCTTTGTGATCATTTTCTGGACCATTGTAAGTCTTAAAGACTTAATATTTATGGTTCATTTCTAGTAGGTCTATGAAAGCTAGCATGTTATGGTCCATTGTGACAGTTAGAATGAATGAGTGTGATAAATTTAGCAAATTTATCACTCACGAAGTCCCCTAGTGTACTATATCTTCTAGATCTAGAAGTTGAGATTGTTTTGAAAGCCATACATGAGATTTATGATACTTTCTTACTTTTTGACCTAGTTTGAGTGAAGGACATGCATGGGTTATCCATGTCTGTAAAATTTGGATTTTTTTGAGTATTTAGGGTCCCAAGAAGCCTTATTTAAAGTTTGAGCAAAGGGATTAAGGGATTTAGGGCTTAACCCATTAAGTTGTCCAATTGCATAAACCACGACGTGGCAAGATACTTGCCACAACATGGTGAAGGAGGATTTCGCGACTGTTTTGTCGTGTTGCTGCAATGGAGTGGTGACATGTTTTCCACGAC